TCCTAGTCTTTGAGGTATCTCCATACTGATTTCCACAGTGGTTGCACCAGTCTGCACTCCCACCAACAATGGAGAAGGGTTCCTTTTTCCCCACAGCCCCACCAGCATTTGTTATTGTTTGATTTCTTGATAGCAGCCATTCTTACTGGGGTGAGGTGGAATCTCAGTGCTCTTTTCATTTGCATTTCTCAGAGGACCAGTGGTGTTGAACGTTTTTCCATATGTTTATTTGCTCTTTCTACTTCTTTGTCTGAGAAATGCCTGTTCATTTCAGATGCCCATTTTTGGATTGGGTCTTTAAGTTTGGGAGGTCTCATTTTTTTAAAATTCTTCAGATGTTCTAGATAGTAGACCTTTGATAACCTTAAGATATTTATAGCTAAATGGATGCACATTGAGGCCATACTCTTAGGTGAAATAAATAGGACACACATGTGTAAATATCAAATTGTTTCTCTGGTATGAGAATCTGAAAGTGTAAATGAGGACAAAGTGTACAATAGATAATATAAAATTGGAAGAGAAGGTCCAAAGAGGAAGCAGAGGGATAGGGGAAAGGAAAGAAAGGAAAGGAAAAAATATGAGATGAGGAAAAAATGGAAACAAAGTCTTTGTAAATGGGGAGGGTCAGAGGGGTTGAAGGGAGGGCAGGGGAATGGGGAAAACATAAGAACCAAGATATATTAGGTAAAGGTACAAATTCCCAATGATGAATGTTATCATCTTGTATACCTAAAAGGTACCAATAAACTTAATGAATTTAAAATAAATAAATAAATAACTTTCTCAACAGATAATACCAGCATGTATTTCACACAGAGCAACTCAAAATATTTATATGAATTTGCCATTGGGCAATATTTATATCTCAAATAAACAAATTTTGGTAATAAAACATGATCACAAGTAGGATCAGTTTGTATTATTTATAGGTGGATTATTAAGTGATGAGTTAGAGTAGTAACAAAAAATACATGAATTTTATTAAACAGATCAATTTTTAAGCAGTGTTTCCACCACAGACTCTTTGTGGTATTCACAAAGTCCTCAAACTTCTCCAGGCCTGTTTATTCAAATCAGTGGTGGGCTGGGGATTTAGTTCAGTGGTTCTACCACCTGCCTCACAAGCGCAAGGTCCCAAGTTTGATCCCCAGTACCAAACAAAACAAAACAAAAAAATCAAGTAAATGGTAAAGATGAAAATGATTTGAAATCTATTCATCCGTTTGGTAACAAAAGATCTATTGTATTACAGTTTGATATTTTTTGTAATGTATTAGAACATGATCTTACAATAGGTTAATCACAAATGTTTACAATATAATTATGATAAAGTACTTCAGTTAAAGGATATTTTGGAACTTCCTCTGAAACATGAGGAAAAAATGTAGAACTTTGTTGGATGTTTATTAAATAGTTGTGTTTGTAGTGACAGTGCATGGTAATATTTATAGTTCCTCATAATTTCCCAAAGCGTGGAGAAGTCCTTTGAGAGAGTAACAGCAATTATGGAAAAGGTGGCCCTATGGTTAAGTAGGAAAGTATTGAGTTAAACAAGTAAAGTTTCCTTACATGAATTTTTCAGATCCTTTACTATGCTAATGTGAGCCCTAAGCCTATTAACCTATATTATACATTCTTGATGAATTTCCCAAGTTTTAGATTTCCTAAAAACTCATTTCATGAAACAATATCCTAAAATTTACAAACAAGTATATACAGTATAATGATGAACTAATAATTTTTTTAAAATGAACCCACCATGAATTCTAAAAAAAAAAATCACATTTTTAATCAGAAATAAACATAGAGGAAAAGGAATAATTCACTTGAATGATTATTTTATGTGATTAATACAGTAGTCACAAAAATGAATCTAATTATGCAATTAGGTCCTAATTTTTATGATGGAAAACTGACTAGTAAATGTGGCCCATATATATGAGCATCTTTGTGTGTTTGTGTGTGTGTGTGTGTGTGTGTGTGTGTGTTTGTGTGTGTGATGCTGGGGATTGAACTGTGCCTCACATGTGTTAGGCAAGTGGTCTACCACTGAACTACATGCCTAGCCCTCATTATTTGTTTCATGTTCAGTCTTGGCATTCTCAAATATTCTATAGCCTACAAAATCAATATAAATGCAAAGTCTATCATAACTCTTTAAATGTGCGCATTTGATTGGAGAAACTTC